GCAGGCTTCAACGGTTATATTCATTTAAAAAGGGAGACGAGCAGAAAGGGATCCCCAAGTCCAGAAAAAAGTAATGAGAATCCCTTTCTTTGAGGGCCATGTGTATTTTACCTATCCTGTTAATCACTGTATCCCCCTGTCTCGCACAGAGCCTGGTCCAGCGTGGGTGATGGATACCGGCTGTGGAATGAACGGATGGATGATGCCTGGGTGAATTTGTAATACTCCTTCATGCCCCCCACCCCCATCACCTTGATCCCACCTCTGCTACATTCTATTTGTCAACATGTAGGCCAGGAGGCAGAAGGGCTTCCTGGGACATTTTGTTTCTGTTCTGGTCTAGGACACAACACGATGACCTGGCAAACAGATGGCTTGATCATTTAACATTGTTCTATTTCAAGCAAAACGTCCTGGCGAGATGGATGCTCAGTGACTCCAACCTGCTACAAGGCTCTTTGGAATGAACTCCTCTGGTTTGGTCCTGCCTGCCAAACACGTTCCCCAAGTCCTGCCTTTCCTGGTCCCCCCGAGAGGCTGCTGCAAGTACAAACACTCCCTCCTCTTAGCTAAAGGAGAACTGGGGTCTTTACTCTCAAGGCGTAAACGGGAGGAGCATCAGTGGCAGTAGCTGCTGGCCTGAGAGGGCCCAGCTTGCTAAGCACTTGCTCCCACCTGGAGAGCCTTGTGGGGCTTTGCCACCCTGCCTGCCACAGCTGCTCTCTTCCTGGGAAGGGGGGCCGGAGGCTGTGGGGCTGGCCTGTGTGGACAGAGGCGGGTGAGGTGATGAAGATGGATGCCTGCTCATTGAACTGAAACAAATGACTCCTATGCCCGCCAAACGGATGCCAGAGGAGCTGGGAAACTAAGGACTTTGCTTATGCCTGTGAAAGTACCCGCTGAGAATCGGAGACTGGCGAGCAGGGGGCCTGTGGGTGACTGTCAAGGGCTGGACGGTGGCAGGGGTGGGGATGGGGAAGAGTGCTGGGCTCCACAGCCGCTTCTCAGCCTCTGAGCGGCTCTCTGGGCCCTTAGTCTTTACAAGATACTTAACCCGTGTGGATAGGCACTAGCCAATCAGAAGGAAGGAGGGTTTCATTGCCTAGGTTTCAGCTGGCCTTAATCCCTTGGCTGCTGGAAGGTAGAGTGATGGGGAGGACTTGGAGGAGGGCCGAGGCTGCAGGAGTGGGCGAGGCCTTGGGGAGCTCAGATCAGCCACGGTTTACCCATCAGTACAGGCCCCTTTCAATGTGAACAGATGGTGTGGCCGCACTCCTGCCGAATGTCAGCTCTGCTGGAAAACACAGAAAGCGGGTTCGGTTCTCACTCTCTACGTGCATGAGCATCACTGGGGAGCCTGCTGACAACACGGATGCCCGGTTCCCACCTCGAAACGACAGGCGCACGCTCTAGGGCCCACGTGCGGCCCAAGACGCTCCCTCCCAAGGCCACGTGCCCAGGACCAGCGGATCTCTTACGATCCAGCTCTGACTGTCAGGGGTTGCGAGGACTCTGAGAGGTGAAGCCCGGCACACGGTGTCTAGGGGAACGTGCCCAGGTCACGTGACCACGCCCATTTGTGCAGGTCACGTGACCACGGCAGCCAGGCGCGCCCATTTAGCTGAAGCAGCCTTGGGCCTGGCCCAGCCCCTGGGATTGCTGTCGCTCAGGAGGGCGGCCCGGTGTGAACCCGAATTTTCAGGAGACGTTGGAAGTCAGTGAGCCACGTCTTGTGTCACAGGTAGGGCATTGCTCTTCTGGCCCCAGAAGCCCTGTCTGAGGCCGGTGGCGGGCAGAGGGGTGTGGCTGGTCCCACCAGAGGAGGGAGGAGACCAGCCCTAAGTGAGGGTCTGGATGCCCCTTAAGGAGTCCGTGTCCTCAAGTACGGACCTCAGAGCCTGCCCTCAGCAGCTTGCCTAGCACAGAGCTGCCAGGTCCGGTCACAGGCCGAGGGGGCGCCCTTGCCAGGGACTTAGAGGGTAGCCGGGGGGACAGAGCTGTCACGGGAGGAAATGTTTGGCTCAGACGCGAGGTGCTGGGGTCCTGCCCAGGATCCCCGGGATGTTCCACAGAGGGGTGGGTTCTCTAGGTATAAGAGAACGTGCCTGCATCGCTCCATTTAAACTCAATTGCCAGATGCTTCCTCCCCTGCCTGGGACAGCCTTCCTCCCACCCCTTTCTCTGTCTGACTCCTACTTGTCCTCCAAGACTCAGTTTAGATTGTGCTATAACCTCCATGCCTAGGCCACGCTGGTCTCTTCTAACACCACAGCCCTGGGCGCGCCCTTATTTCAGACTTTCTCCCCTGAAATTTCAATGGCTTGCTGCCTTAAAAACATGCACGTCTAACACTTGTTAGGTGTTTGCTCTGTGCCAGCACGGCTTAAGTCACTTTCTAGTATCATCTCCGTTAATCCTCAACAGCCCAATGAAGTTGCGTGGCTATCCTCTCTATGTAAGAAAGCAAGGCCCAGAGAGGTTGAGTGACTTGCCCAGCATCACACGGCCAGGAAGTGGTAAATGCGGACTTGCACCCAGTCTGTGTGCAACACCTGCAACCACAGCACCCTGCCGCCTCCTGCAGGCTGAAGCCAGCATCCTGGGTTCATGCAGCATCGTCCCAAGTGGGATGTGAAGGGAGGTAGCTTGAACTTGGGGGTGTGGGCAGCTATCGGTCTCGCTCTGCCGCTGCCTGTGGGTCCAGCCTCAGGGCCCTCAGCTCTATAGTGGGGACAGTGATACCTGCCTCATAAGGTTGTTGGAAATCACTGCGGTGCCTGGCACATAGGCAATGTCTGAAACGTGTTGATGGGATTAATGATTGGAGGCGCCAGTGAGTTAAACCTTTACTGGGAAATAACACCCTCCTGCCCCTTTCAAATCCCCATTAGACTGCACCCAGATGGGATTTGGTTTGATGCTGGACCTGGGCGAAGAGGGTGGGTGGAGTGGGGATGGCCAGCCTTTGGAGTTGTTTACAGTTCTCAGAGAGGTCACCCTATAGAGAGAGTGGACAATGGGCGGAATATTGTTTCATTTGGAAAGCATGAATTGCATCTCTATCACATCCAAAACAACCTGCTTGGCCCCAACGGTTAAAAATGATCTGGATCCATTGCTACTGAGTTGGCTGGTCATGTCCTATACCTGCCATTCTGGGTGTAGACTAGATTGCTAAACTTTCAGCGTGTTTTTTTTTTGATAAAGATGAGGTGTAGGAACTCATATCATCCCCTGTCTCCCTGTCCTTCTGTCTTTCTCCCATTGCCTCATGTGGGTCATTCAGTGAGGCATGGAATTGGGATGCTGATTCTGTGGGGTAGACATGGGTCTGACCCAGGTCTGACCTCTGTGCATGGTTCCTTGATAGGATGATGGTTTTGTTTTTGTCTTATTAAGATCTGGAAAAGTGGCGGATGATTCACTTTGTCAAGTGTGTGGGTGGGTATGTAAAGTATGTGTTTTTATACCAGGACCTTGAAGAACTGGGAATTCTTCAAGAAGGGGAATGTTGTAAGCAGACCTGCCTTTTTTTAAGGGCACCCAGCATTAGCAGCAAATGGCATTTGTGCATTAAAGTGCCCGCATTGCTGGGCATGCAGTGAATGGCAAATCCCAGCAGTGAATTTCATGAGAATGGATGGGGTCTGACAGCTCTGCCTTAGCTCTCAGGGACGCCCTCCTTCGTGTACAAGGTTGCCTGGGAGTCCCGCTCACTTCAGTCCCTTCCTAGTGGGGTCACCTAGTTGTGCAGATTCATCCTCCTTCCCCCACCTGTCAGGAATGTCAAGGCCAATTTCTCCTCTTTGAAATTCTTTCCTGATGCTTTCCCCCAATCCTCTCTTTCTCTTTTTCATCACCTCCCTGCTGTCTCTCTCTCCAGGATTTTCCTCCCCTCCTTCTTCTCCTCCTTTTCCTCTCCAAAATCCTTTGTCTAGTTCAGGGGTGGGGGGACCTTTTTTTCTGCCAAGGGACATTTGGATATTTATAACATCATCTGAGGGCCATACAAAATTGTTAACTTAAAAATTAGCCTGCTGTATTTGGTCAAACATTTAATTAACTCACCCCAAATGCCTTGGCAGAGCCAGACCAAATGATTTCGTGGGCCTTATATGGCCTGTAGGCTGGACGTTCCCCACCCCTGGTCTAGTCCCCTTGACAGTGGCTTTCCTCTAAGAAGTGCCCCCACACGAGCCTTGGGCTGGCATCTTCCCACGAACACGGATGCCTTATCCTTCAACCGGTGAAACAGCTCATCTTCCCCGAAGGAGAAGGAATTAGAGAAACTAACGAACGATGCAATACAAACAGAATATCTACCAAAACCCAAACCTCTCCGCCTACAAGTTATTTGAAGCTCACTGTGCTTTCCTGGGGAGGTCAGCCTCCAGCTAGGTGGCTGGTCCATGGCACCACACCCACAGCTGCCTGCTCCCCGCTCCTCTCGCGAGTAAGACTCAACGTGGGAAAGGATTGAACAACTTGCAGCAGGATAAGCATTTGATAGGTAGTCAGCTTTCCCTCTGACCTTCTCATTGGGAGCAAGGCCTTTGGTATCTATCTCACACCCTCCCCAGAAATTCTCCCCCTGCCCCAGGATTGGGACTCTGTGGCGGGAAAAGATATAGCAGCTCCTAGTGGACTCAGAAGATGGCAGAAGCTTGTGGTGAACAGGGTGGCGGGGTCAAAAAGCAATGCCAGCACTCCCACCACTGCGCACCCCAGGGTGAAGCCCCTTTCGGGACACCACACTGATTCTACGCAGAACACAGGGCAAGAGCACACACACTCCCGGCTGGGGACGGGGCGGGCGGGATGGTCTCCCACTCTTTGGTCCGAGCAGTGGGCCTTGCTGTGTAGGGTCATGATTTTGGAAGGCTCCATCTCCCCTCCCGCCCAGGACAGGAGTCCCTGCCCCCACCTCTCCTTTCCCAGAGATAACATGGGCAGAACAAGGACCCAGGCTCGAGCACCCATAGAATGGCAGGACACCCTCAGTGGAGGCAGACTGTATTTAAATGCAATTCACCTCTTCGGGATCTAGGAAAAGCCACCCGTAGATTCATTTGCTGGGAAACGTGGTCTGTGTGGAGGAGGCGGAGGACACTGGGGCCACGGTCTTGCTGAAAGCTGACTTCCTCCGGGGGTCTGTCTGCTGTCCGGAATGGCAGCCGCTGCGGTGGGCGAATAGGATGGTCATCTCCGGGCCCAAGGGGGTGGCTTCAGGCTGGGACCCCTTAGGGTTGGCGGGATGTTCAGGCTTCCCGGAGGTGCTGTGTTTGGTGGGAGGAGGGCTGTAATTCTGAAATCTCACGGTCTTGACTTGCTGTGAGAGAAAGAAGAACACAGGGACCCAGGTGAGGGGGGAGGCATCCCTGGGACCTGCTTCATGCTGTTTCTCCGCTCTGGCCCCGCCTCAAGGCCTCATGTACATGTTCATTCAGGAACTGCATGCATCTACCATGCATCATGCACTCTGAGGAGCTGCGAACCCAAGAGTGAACACAGTTGTCCTAGACAAAAAGACAATTGTAACCACAAGTGTCAGGATGGGGGACGTATAGATGCTCAGTGCATCGCTTTTCGGCCTTTTGGCTAAGATCAAGTGTAGATGCTCAGTGCAGAAGAGTATGAAACTAAAGCTGGAGGGCGGGTATGCAGGGAAGGCTTTCTAGAGGCCAAGCTAGTTCCGTTGAGAACTGAAGATCCATTAGGAATTCTCTAGAAGAAATCTGGTAGGCCTGCCTGGGAAAGGGCCTGAGGCCAGAGGGTCTGGTCTATTCTGGAAAGTCTCAGTTCACCTTCCCTCTCCTCTGTCCGCCCGCCCTGGAGGCCTAACTCAAGGTGCCCCCTTCCTGAGGCCCCCCTGCTGATGCCATCCGGAGAGCCCCACAGGCTGAGAGGTCCTCAGAGAGGTTTGCAAACTGGACACCTGCGGGCTGAATTTAGCCTGCAGCATGTTTGCGAGCTGTAGGAAGTTGGGAGATGGCACATTGAAATCAGTCGTTTGTATGTCTCTTTAAAAATCAGAGATCCGGCACACTGGGCCTACGCCCCATTTTGGCAACAACTGACGAGCAGTCTCTCTCCATAGGGAGGTATGTCCCCTGTTTGCACAGGCATCACCTCTCCCTCCTTCCACCTCTCCTGGCTGTTACCCACCTGCCTGGTGCCCACACATATCGGCTTTGGTCGGTCCCCCTCGCGGGGCTTAGTAAAGTGCTCTGTGTACTGCTTAGGAATGATTTCTTTTTTCCAGGGAATTCGATCCTAGTGTCCCCCACTGAGAATTCAGGTTTCTTAACACTAGACACTAGACCTTGACCATGTCTAGCAGAGGCCTGGGCACTTACTGGACACTTGCAGTTTGAAGGCTGTATCTAACAGCTTGGGGGCACGGGCAGCTGGGGCCTGGAAGGTTTTGACTTACTTGACAACTAGAATTCAGGAAAAAATAACACCCCACCTCCTGACATTTCCATCAGTCAGCACTGACTTTTTCCAAATGCCTTTCCCTATAAGCTTAGCGTCAGGAGCGTAAGTTTTTGTATTAGATCTGGATTCCCCTCCAGACACTTGTGCGTCCGCCGTGTGCCTTTGGGTAATGTGCTCTAACTCCTTAAGCCTCCACGTCCTCATTTTAAAATGAGGACGACAATGATAATACTACTACTTCAGAGGGTTGTTGTCAGGATGAAATGAGAGAACACGTGAAGCAATTAGCACAGTGCCTGCCAGGTCATTAGCTGTCAGTAGTGTGTGACGAAGAGAAGGGGACCGCACCGCCTTTCCAGGTCAGGGGGAATGGGCGGTGGCGGTGAGGCTATGATGGTCAAGAAACTAAAAGATAATAAGCATTGCCCAACTTCCTAATGTCACCTCCTCCATCCTCCATCCCTCCTGCTTCAAGGATGTTAACAAGATCTCTTATGTCTTCTAGTGGGAAAAGCCCTGAAGTAGAAATGAACATATTTGATCTCTGCCACAGTTGTCATAATTCAGTGTGACCTTCTTCTATTCCAGTGATGGCGAACCTATGACACGTGTGTCAGAGGTGACACGTGAACTCATTTTTTTTGGTTGATTTTCCTTTGTTAAATGGCATTTAAATATATAAAATAAATATCAAAAATATAAGTCTTTGTTTTACTATGGTTGCAAAGATAAAAAAATTTCTCTATGTGACACGGCACCAGAGTTAAGTTAGGGTTTTTCAAAATGCTGACACGCCGAGCTCAAAAAGTTCGCCATCACTGTTCTATACCATGAACAATTATGTATCAAGCCCTCTGTAAGCGCTGTATACATCTTTATTCACTTAATCTCCACCCCAGTCCTATGAGGCTGTTACTAGTATTCTTACCGCCACCATTCTACAGATTAGAAAAAAAAAGAAGTCTCAGAAAGGGGAAGTGTTTTGGCCAAAGTCACCAGCTAGCAAGCAGCAGAGCTGGAGTTCAAATCCAGATTTCTCTGATGCCAAAGCCATGTTTTTTCCCAAGCCACCTTGTGCCTTGAAAGAAGTGTTTGAAATATTCAGAGAGGACGTGAGGATGCAGGGGGCGTTGCATGTAGAGGCCCTTCAGGGGCAGTAATTTTGATTTCTTGTCCACTAAGACTAAAATCTCAGGAGCTGGGACACTGAGCCATGCTAGGGGTCCGAAGAGTCATGGCCCCAAGGTCAGCTCACGCCTACCTTTTCGCTGCTGTTTCTGGAGTTTTCTGGCTTCACCAGGATGGATGGCGGGGCAGATGCGGGCGGTTTGAGTGGAGGCTCACTCTTGATGGGGATTTCCTTGCCTTCCATGATGATGGAGCTGGCGGTTGAGTGGATCCTGGACTCACTGCCTCTGCTGATGCACGTGAGGGCAGGCTCCCCCGTGGGAGCCGGCTTGGGTCCCATCTCCGCCACCACCATCAAGGGTGAGGAGGGGACCGCCGGTGGCTGGTGGAACTGGAACTGCTGAGGCCGGACGACCATGGTGGGGCTGCGTCTGAGAGAGCCCACCACAAGGGTGGGGATCCCTGACGGGATGGGTCTCTGCAGGGATCCATCTGGGGAGTCACTCTGGGTGTGCACTGTGTCCTGATATCCCAGAATAGTTAAGTGCTTTCTCAATCTGACCGCACGCACACTCTCTCAGGGTCTTTCAAAGGTGACTTTATTCTTTTTTTAGTGCTGCTTGCTGATGCTGGCAGCCAATAAGTGGCTAGCTGAATGTTGGGGGAGGGTGTTAGAAGGTATGTTACTCTCTCTCTCTCTCTTTCTCTCTCTCTCTCTCTCTCTCTCTCTCTCACACACACACACACACACACTCCTACTCTCTCCCTCCAGACCTTTAAGATGGAAAGTGAAGAAGATCGACCTAGAGACAGCTTCACAGTGAGAAGCAAACAGAGGCGTGCAGACCAAAGAGGAAACAAAAGCCAGAGAATGAGAGAAAGAGAGAAACTGAGAAACACAAGAGTCAACTGAGAGGGAGGGAGAAGGGAAGGAGAGGCGGGGAGGGGTCTCTGGCCAGTGACTTGAAGACCATGCTAACAAAAGCTTTAGCTAGATGGTGGTGGGATCGCTTTTAGCTGGGCTTCAGAGAGGGTGGGTGGGATTCTGAGAGAGAGAGAGGGTGTGCAGGTGGATGTGGCACCAGAGGGAAGCGAATCTGGAAGGGTGACTCCAGAGGGAGGTGTGTGCGGATGAGCCTCACAGAGCCCCTGACGCCAATCAGATCTACTCCCAGGGAGCCTGGGATAGGTCAATCCCCTCAGCCCCCTCATTTGTAAGCCGGAGCTAATAGCAGCGCCCTGGAGGGCTGGCGGGAGGATTACATTTTAGGATGTATGCAAAGTGTTAGGACCGCGCCTGGGGCCTAATGGCCCATGTTTGTTAGACATCATTTGTGGGTAAAGGATAGCAAACCCTAAAAATGCGAGGTCTGCCCAGCTGGTGTGACTTAGTGTTTGAGTGTTGACCTATGAAGCATGAGGTTGTGGTTCAATGCCCGGTCAGGGCACATGCCCGGGTTGCTGGCTGATCCCCAGTGTGGGATGTGCAGGAGGCCGCTGATCAATAATTCTCTCTCATCGTCGATAGTTCTGTCTCTCTCTCTTCCTCTCAGAAGCGAATAAAAATAAAAATAAAATGCAAGGTCCAGGAGTTTGGTTTTGCCCCTTCCCTAAGCTCTTGTTCTTTTTGTTAACAGTGATGATCCCCTCTCACTGAAAAGCCGTTCCGCTCACATCCCCTGGAGACAGGAGATCCTCACCCCTTGGGAATATGTCCTGCAGGTATTTGGGGAATAGTCAGGAGCTCACGGCACTCGGGGGGCAGGGGGGAGAGACACCCCTGAGAAGCACTGTGGCCATCTCTCCCTAAGGGTCCCCAGCACTGAGAGGCACAGGTGGCGTGGCTCAGCCATTTGTGTCCCGCACAGGGGCCCGCGCCAAGGCCTTGTTCTGCACTGTGACTTTTCATCAAGCCAGACGTGAACGTGAAAAGCAGAATGCTCGCCACTCACATTCGACCTTCTCAGCCGCTGCGAGCAAGCCAGTCACCATTTACAAGTCTGACCTTTCCACGTGGATATTTATTTTGCCACGGTCAGCCCTGTGAGGTCATTTCTGCTGCCATTTCTCTTCGCTTCGGGGAGACTGAGAGCTTGACCAGCCTCACCTCGGGAAGGGGAGAGAGAGAAAGCCTCCCGGATCTGGAAAAGTCAGAGGGGCACTGGGCAGACGTGGCCTCGGGCTCCCGGAAACGTGTGAAAAATTGATTTTATGCCTTACCTATTTATTTTGTTGGTTCCTAACTTCCAAGAGAGCGAATGCTTTCACATTGCACGCACGTGCAATGCAAACAGTCAAAGCTCCGGGTTAATCAATATGTGCGCAAAGGCAGGGAGCGAGCCCATGAGAGGAAAGTGAGTAGTTGCTGGTGGGACGCACGGCCTGGCTTCTGTTATGGTCCAGGCTGAGTCTCCGTGAGCACAGGCTCTGATGGAGCAGAGATGATCTGCTTAGTGGCAGTAGCAGTGATGAGACGGATAAAATAATAATACTATAAAATAGTTACTTCTCAAGAGCTTATTACGGGCCAGGCGTTATGCCATCCGTCTTATGTGGATTATTTTATTAAATCCATACAATAACCCTGATGAGGTTGGTACTGTTTTTATTTCCATTTCCCCCCGTTTATTTCCATTTTACGAACGAGAGAACTGAAGACTGAAGAGGTCCGTAACTAGCCCAAGGCTGTTATGGTGGGGTCAATTACTGTGTGTGTGTGTGTGTGTGTGTGGCGGGGGTTGGGGTACTGTCATGTCGGGTGGGTATAAGGTGGAGGTACTGGAGGGAGAAGCAGGGAGGACAGTCGGTGGAACTGAGGGGCAGGCGTGGTGGCACTGAGGTCAGCAGGTGACCAGATGAAAGCACTGGGAGTGGGTGGAACTAAGATATGAATTTTCCTGGGACACATTCCTGTGTGGCATATTGTCTCACTGTTTTGCTCTGACTAGTCAGTCTTATTGCATCTTCACATTGAATCATTTTTTTTAAAGATAGCAGAGTCCAGCTCAAATCAGAGCACGCAAAATGAATCAAGTTTACTTTGGTTGGCTCATTGCCTCCTTCTAGAAAGGTGTATAAATAAATAACAGAATCTTGCTGTTTTGTAGGACAATGGGTTTCAAACACTTTATAAAATCCTTGAAAATTAGGCCTTATGTAGAAGCTCAGTGTTTTAGGAGATAAAAACATGGCTTTTAAGAGGCAAGCTCTATATTACTGCTACATATGCAGGGGGCTGTTATATGGGTAAAAATAAAAGCAAGGTGCAGGACAGTGCAGTGAGTATGATGACAAAGTATAGAAGTGCATGGAAGAGAACTTGAGACTGGAAGTGAAGGATATGAAGGAGACTTACTTTTGTACAATATACTTATTTTTTTCTTTAACCTCGTGCATATATTAATTAAATAACAAAATGGGATTCAGAGGCTCTTCGCGTTGACTTCTTAACTTTCTTTTCCTCTCTCCCCCCTTCCTTTCCCTTGCTTTCCTTCTGACACCCCTGAGGGGTTCCTTGGAACATAATTTGAGAAGCACTGCTCCAGCAAGTGCTTTGGTTGTTCCTTCTTTTTTTTTTTTTTAAATATATTTCTTTATTGATTTCAGAGAGGAAGGGAGAAAGAAAGAGAGATAGAAACATCAATGATGAGAGAGAATCATTGATTGGCTGCCTCCTGCCCACCCCCTACTGGGGATCGAGCCCGCAACCCAGGCATGTGCCCTTTGCCGGAATCGAACCTGGGACCCTTCAGTCCGCAGGCTGATGCTCCATCCACTGAGCTAAGCCGGCTAGGGCTGTGGTTCCCACTTAATGAGAGCCAGCATCCACCTTGGCTGTGTTTTAATTACAGGTTGGCACTCAGGGCTGCCGTCCTCCCAGTCAGTCAACGTGCATGTATGACGTGACTGGAGGCCAGTGACCTTGAGTGGGTCAGTCTGCATCCAGTAGAACAGCTCAGTATTTGGGAATCATAAAAAAACCTTCCACTGAGGCTTGTTTTAAAGCCAAGATCCTTGTTTTTGCAGGAAGCACTCTGTCCCCACCCCCCGCCCCCCCACCAGTCACTTAGCTCTAGGCACCTACCTCTCTGCCACTACTTACTCTTTCTCATGCTGCCCCGCCCTTTCCGGAGAGTGCTCTGTCCTGGAGCGCCCAGGCTGGCTGTGCTCCGCACGGGGTTGACTATGGCCGTGGGCACAAAGACGGACTTGAAGGGGCGGCTTTGTCGGGGATCACCTTCTGAAATGCTGCCTTGGGAGGACACAGAGGAGGTCGACAATGTCCATGTGGCGAAGAGACCAGGGCTCCGGGCGTCTGGAAAACTAGATGTCTTTCTGGGTGTGGACATTGTTTTTTAAAAGAAACAGAGAAAGCAAATGGTCAGTCAAGAGTGCTGTTTTAAACACCTACCAGCTCCCAGCCGTAGACCAGATGTGGCTCTTCCTCGCCCTCTTTCTACCCATAAATATGCTTTTTGTCAACGACGTGGGCTTAAGTACGTAGTCTCATCCTACACTTGCTGACTGTGGGTGTGTTGAGGGTCTCATAAGGGTCCTTTCCATGTTCACCTGGCTTTGCCATGGTGATTCCTTGTCCATTCAGGGACTCTCTTCTGAAGGCAGAGATTTTACATGACCTACATGTCCTACAGACCTTAATTATGAATAAATGTTTGCTGAGTGGCTGCCATGATGCTTTCAGCCCTGATGCCAGTCATTCTGGCTAACATATATTGAGCACTTACTGTATGCCAGGCAACAGCCAAGTGCTTTGCCCACATGATCTCATGGATTCTTCACAACAGCCCTTTGAGGCAGGTTATGAGTGCTGCTATGTTATAGAAGAAAATAAAAGGAGATTTAGAGGTACTTGCCCAAGCAACTCCTACTCTACCACTGAACGACATCACCTGAGCTCTCACCACTGCGTACACAACCTTGGGGCTAGTTAGAGCATTCATCATTTGGTAGCAAGGAAACCCTGCATCCTGCTTGAAAGAAACTGAGTAAAGCAGTGGGTAGGCCCTAAACATGCCACCGTAAGACATCAATTCTTCAGCCTTAGGGTCTGATTTTTAATGCTAGTATTCAAATTTTGTAAAACTGCAAGCAACCCCTCCTCCATTGTTCCCAGCCTGCAAGTCCCTGAACCCCGTGGGGAATGGCTGTCAGTCTACACGCCCTTCTTGCCCTTGTACCAACAAGTCCTCCCCCAACATCACAGCCTCTCCTAAGCAGCCCATCCGTCACCTTGTCATTCTGTTGATGAAATAACCTCAGCTAATTACCTGGGAATAACCAGCTTGACCATGGCCCCGGCACAGAGATACCCTCCTAGTTTCCTGCCTGTCAATGCCTCCAGGTTTCTCTTTGGGTAATTTCCTCTTATTTTCCTCCTTTTCTCTCCTTTTGCTTAAAAGTGATATGTGGTTTAATGATGAGCTGGCCAGGGTTGGACAAAGATGAGTCAGGCATCCTTTAATGTAGCCAATCCTGCCCAAGACAGATATGCAGCCCGATACGCCAGGAGCTGATGGTGCAGGGGAGTGGGCTGCCCACCATGAAGAGCCCACACTACATTGGAGGTGATGGCCGCTGGAGGAGAGAGACCCCCAGCACGAGCTTCCATGACATGGTCTACATCTGCCTGTCTTATTTTTTTTAATAGTCAACAGGCTATTTTTAGAGAGAGAGAGGAAGGGAGAAGAAACATCATGTGAGAGTGCAACATCGATCAGCTGCCTCCTGCACACTCCCTCATAGAGATCGAGCCCACAACCTGGGCATGTGCCCTGACTGGGAATCAAATCAGCAACCCCTTGGTGCATGGGACAACACCCAACCAGCTGAGCCACACTGGCCAGGGCATGGATCAGCCTGTCTTTTGAATCAAAGCTTTAAGGTGCTAGATGCTGCAAGATGGATTGAAAACAGGAGAGAATGCTTCCAGAACTGTTTCCAGCAGCAGCAGCATCAGCATCAGCAGCAGCAGCAGCAGCAACAGCAGCAGCAAGGAATTAGGCCCACGCCAGCTTTCTTCACCAGTCCTGTCTTTAAACAGACTGACATTCGACCGCCGTTTTCTAGTCCAGCACTAGACTGAGTCTAGAAACTCTGAAATCCCAAGTCCTTCATTTAACAAGGACTTAGCTCAGCCCTTCTCTAGCACTTTCTTCTGACATCAGAGCACTTTGCACACATATATTAATCAATCCCCACGATACCCCCAGGCCTGCAGACATCACAATGCTTGTTTTCTAGCTGGAGAGACTGAGGGACATTCGGGCTTGAGTGCAAGGAGCATGTGTTGCCTCTGAGTCGCTCCACGGTGCTGCTTTGAATGTGCAGGTCCCTGTATCCTCTCTTCTATCTGTGACATGAGCCCTTAAGAACTTGCCGAATATTTGAAAGGGGCATGGACCTTGGCAATTTTTATGTAGTTCTGTGTAGAAAGTTAAAGGAAAATGAGTGCTGGCCCATGAGTCACTGGGAGGGCACATGTACCAGGTATTGGGTGAAGTTTGCAAGAAAAATAAATACCCTGGCTAACTGGACAGAAGGGAATTTATGGGGAGGACGGGAGGGTGTGGGAAAGGCCTGGAAACAGGTCTAAGGGAGGTTGCTGAGGAATCTGAGGTGGGAGGGGTCTGACGCTACTGTTGGTGTTTTCGCCATGAGTGGTCTTCAGCTTTGCCCACATTCTTTCCTCCCTTGTCCAGGTTTCCAAGTCCCAAGAGAAAGTGTCAGGTTGGCTGAGCTTGTCCCTTCGCTGTGGTGATGGGTTGAGGAAGAGGAGGAGGAAGGGGAGTTGTTAATTTCTGGGGAGTTGAAAAGGGAGGAAACTTCTGCCTCCCATCAAGACTGTGCGTGGAAGAGGAAACTCGAAGGGATGTTGGTGCTGTTGAGAAGGGGTTTGTGTGAAAATGAGACAAATGCTCTCAACCACCTGAGCCAATGATGCCTCCAGGAGCTAGGGAAACACCTCACGGGGGCAGAGATTTAGTTGTTGCTCAACACAGGACAGGCTGGACAGCATCTCGCACAGAGGGCTGGAGCTCTGCGTGGCACAGCAGCCTTTCCCTCTCTTGGTAATGAAGGCTCACTTGGTGAATCTTCAGCCAAAAACCTGGCATTTTGGTCAACTGTGGTCAATGCGTAGTTAGTCCCGAAACTGGCTGGCTGTGGAAAGGGTGGTTAAGAATGAGGGCGAGCTGCCCCCAGATAGACAAATTGGACAAATGTCATCCATGTCTAAGATGAGTGGGGAACTTTCTCTGTGTCAGGGGGTGGGGGGCCATAGGAAAACGTGTCCACACAGAGAGCATCAACCCTCTGTCACCTCAGGAGGATGTACTGTGGCAGGGACTTGCTCATCTCAGAAATGCCGGTTCTCTAGAAGCAAAACCACCCCTTAGCATAAGCAGCACCTCAGTATATGATCCCCTACCACAGAGAGCATCGACCCTCTGTCACCTCAGGAGGATGTACTGTGGCAGGGACTTGCTCATCTCAGAAATGCTGGATCTCTAGAAGCAAAACCACCCCTTAGCATAAGTAGCACCTCAGTATATGATCCCCTATAGGGGATCGAGTCTGAAACCCAGGCATGTGCTCTGACGGGGCATCAAACGAGGACCTCCTGATTCATGGGTTGAAGCTCAACCACTGAGCCACACTGACTGGGCAAGGTTACTCTTATTCTATCTGTTCTTCCACGGCATAACCAAGACTTTGGGCTAAGGCCTGATGCATAAGCAAACGCCGTAGGAGTACACACATGGCCCTAGAGAATTATGTTAGAGC